AGACTTTGAGTTTTATTTTATTTTTCATAAATATTATTAAGGAAAAGAAAAAACAAACAAAAATTAATAATTTACATAAAATATCATAAGACTGTAATTTCCCTCATTTCAATGTTTCTTTTTGTTCTCAATTCTCTTATACAATACACATATCAAACAAATAAAAAACATATAACCCACCCAAAAAAACTCATTTTTCGGATTTTTTTTGTTGTTTCTCAAAGTATCTATCAAAAAGGAACCTTCGGAAACCTGCATCAATAAAAGGACTCAATTCTCTCAAACAACAATTCTTTTCCCTTTAACCTTAGCAGCCATTCTTCTCTCTTTGTTAATATCTCTCCTCCGTGTGGTTGAATCAGATGCTCCAATGGGAGCCAAAGGGCCTGACCAAGTCTGAAGTGGCTCTTTCGAGTAAGAAGAAGTGAATGAGTTTGAGCTAAATGGTATCTCCGATGGATCAAGTCGCCGTGAAGAACCAATCGGGAAACCAAGCGACCCGTCTTGATGCGGTGGAGGAAACTTCTCGCTCTTGCTCTTAGCATTCGCGTGCGTGATCAAACGCATCCTCTGTATTTAGAAAAGAAAACCGCCAAATATTTAGATATGAACTGAAACTAAACCAAGAATGTTGCAAAAATATTCCGTTGTTGGTTCAACTCTTACATCGATGTTTGATTGATTCTCTGCGTTGGCTTCTGGAGCCGGCATTGCTCTTGGGACTCGTTCCCGGGGTCTCATTCTTCTTCCGCTCTCTCCTTGAGTCTTACGGGCTTCTCTTTGTCTGCAGAAATGATTACATCTCTCAGGCAACCAAAATCCTACAAGCAACAAAAGGTAAAGAAAACTGAAAAGTTTACCTCCGATACTCTTCGTCTCGTTTCTTGGCATCAATCTCTTTAGTTGGAGGATACTTCGGTAGATCAGAAGGTTCACATGGAAGTGGATCCGTCGTGAAGAACTGTTTACAGCAAAAATAAACCGGCCATGAAAGTTTGAACCGTGATGAGTCACACGCCTAAAGATTCATAAGTTTCTAAGCGTTTTTCCATCTTATTTTATCAATATGATTAGCATTTGATCAATTTACATCGCAAGAGTTTCCAATTTCCAGATTTTTGCATATAAAACCCAAACTGTTTAATGTTTCAACGGCTCAAACTTTTCATTGGGAGAAACTTACATCACTCATCAACGCATCTGTAGCTGTCCGGCGCTCAGACGGATCAAGCGCTAGAAGTGTATCGAGTAAAGAAAGTGCCTCAGGAGAGAAATCTTTGTAAACCTCTCTTAGTTTTCTTTTAAACTGTGGTAAAGGCTTGTGATGAGCATGCTTATGATTAGAAGGAAGTCTAATCTTTCTCCAATACTCTTCCGAAGGCGATCCACATAACTTATATATCCTATGCAACTGCTCGATCTGCACCGTGAAACATTTTCCCGGTTCACATTTCATATGAATAACTCAAACCCGGAAAAAAAAAAATCATTACTTGAGAGCTAACCTCGTTACGACCTGGCATAATTGGTCTACCAGCTAATAACTCAGCTAAAATGCAACCAGCGCTCCATAAATCAACACCAACACCATACTCAATAACACCGTGAAGAAGCTCTGGTGCTCTGTACCATAAAGTAACAACCCGGTTTGTCATTTGTTGCCTCTTACTTGCATCAAAAAACGTTGCAAGCCCAAAGTCGCCTATTCTAAGCACTCCTCCATCATCTATAAGAAGGTTTGATCCTTTGATATCACGGTGAAGAACTCCTCGGTTATGGCAATGTTCGAGCCCGGAGAGTAGTTGCTTCATATAGCATTTAACCTGCAAAACAACCATTATAAAAACGGTTAATATCTGCCTCCACTTTTGTGAATCTATTTCACCAAGGCCTAACCTGTTGGTCGGAGAATTTTATGTCCGGGCTTGCGGCAAGACCAGCTAAGTCGTGATGCATATAACGGAAAACCAAGTATATACTACTTGACATCCTTGAAGTAACCAAACCTTCCAATTTAATGACATTGGGATGATCCAATCTCCTCAAAATCAGAATCTCTCTAGCCATAAATCTCAAGCTCTCGGGTTCCCTAACATCACACCGCACTTTCTTTAACGCCACAATGTTTCCTGTCAACGAATCTTTCGCTTTGTACACATTACTATACGTTCCTGATCCAATCT